AAGGGTCGATGATCTTGTAACTGCGAATACCGTTGGTCACCTTGAGGGATGGTTGGGGTAGACTAGAAGTGATGTCACCAGAAGAAATAGGGTGAGATAAGGACTGCACTTGAACAGAGCTGGTAGAACTCACACCGGCAGAAGGCAGATTCTCCTGGGGATGATCAGCTCGGGCCTCGTGAGCTGCTTCCTCCTCGGTAGCTAGGGCGTTAAACTCGTCAAAGGTTAAGAACTCGGAGTCACCTGTCTCCTCAGAGTGGTCGGTAGTGGTGGGTCTGGGCACCATGTTGTACTATGACGCAACGTGAAGGAATAGGGAGAAAGTTGAGAGTAGCAATGAGCAGTGTAATCTATTTGATAATAGCTATTACACCTAAATGGCGAGCGAGATCGTCTGGGCGGGCGCTGGTTTCTGCGCATCATTACAGGAGCCTTTCGGTATATCGGTCCCGAAATGTGTGAGGTTGCACGGATGATCCTCTAGTTCTGGTGGCCTTTGGTGAACTTAGCTATTCAATGAGCTTCAGTTCTGAGTTCCGTGTAACTCAGCCTGTGCCGTGTCAGTGAATCCCTAGTCTAACCACTGACCGTGGATCAGTGAGGTCTTCCCAAGGAAACACGTCCGTGAGCGTTGATTCCTGGGAACCTGATACAGACTCCGATCGCGTTGCAAGGGAGACCTTCCCCGTCGGGAACTCTCCGAACGTGTGAGTCTTGTGAGACGGATAGGGGACATGGCTTTGTGATGCAGCGTGGTAGACGCTGTGCTCGCTCTTCCGAGGCGACTTTATACCCGTCTCTTCCTATACTTTCATAGTTTACCACATCACTATCGTGCTACCCAGCTGCTTCATTCTCTTTAGGGTTAATTTATGAATTTGGTTCCAAGTTTCGCTCAGTTTTTTGTTGCATCCTCCTACCTATGGCGGATACCTTGGCTAGGGAAACGGAGGCCTTTCGTGCGATTTTCCCGGCCAGCTGCCCAACGGTTCTGCGTGATGCTCTCATCGACAGGCTACTCGCACTTGGTGTGGGTACCGCTGACCTCTCGACCTTGGTCTCAAAGCCAGATATGCTGAAGAATACAATTGTTGATGTCCTTTGCCCTATTGGTGAAAAAGAAACGGCAGATCAGAGGCAACTCCGTGACGGAGTCTCCGTTTGATTCGCGGTTTGAGGATCGAATCAGCTTTACAAGGTGCTGCTAAGGCCTTCTCCAACAAGCACGGCCCTGCCGCTCAAGGTCAACTCGAGTACATGGAGCGAATTTCGAAGCGTTATGGTGGTGCGGCTTCCCCCGGTTTGGTGGTATCGAGAGGTGAAGCTAGGTTCCGAATCGGGAATTCCGATCGTTCCACGGGAGGCAAGAAGCCAGTAGTGGATGTCAACGGCAACATCCAATGGATTCCCGACTCGGCCACTGGTGGCCGCAAACCTCGCAATCTCAGTGAACTGTGGTTCGGCCTTCTCCCCATCTTACTATGTATCGACACTAGTTGCAACGTGAATGGAGGCCCCTGGGTGCTCCACTATTTGCAGGAGTTATGCCGGGTCTCCATGTTATAGGAGAGTCGGCCGCAATGGTCTATGATACCCAGTTCCGTCGGTCTCTGAACGGTAGAGCGTTTGCTCTGGCGGAAAGAGAACGGATTCCCTTGTCCCAAGCGACGGTACGCTTATTAGGTGGTGCCATGGACCAAGAAGCCCTCAGCATGGCCATGGGACCGAGATCATTGGTGGAAGACTCTCAAGTCAAGTCCATCTCCTCACATGTGGTTTCGGGCTCTGGTCCGGCGACAACCCCCAACAAAGAAAGAGCGTCGAAGGCTCCGCCTCCCGGTATCTGCCCACATACTCGCAACCAGTGCCCTTTACTGAAGCTTCGCAAG